AATCAGCCATCATCAGGCCGGATGTGCACCGGTCGCGCAAGTGCTTTTCAAGCAAGAACTGCTCTGCTTCAAGTATGTTCACCATCATGTCTCGACCTCTCAAACATTTCTGAGGAACCCGCGGGATGCCTTTTAACGCAATATTGCTGGTGAGAAACCTAGCCATTCCTGCCGAAAGAATTTTCGCGTCTGCGTTGGCCATGCTCAAGGGCCGAGTAGACTCAGGCCCACGAAAAAACGCTTCGCCAACTTCAAAGTATTGGATCTTTTGGGGGAGGAAGACAAGGATGCTGCGTTTCGTGCCCTCTGGGATCTCTCCATGCGGGCCCCGAAGCAGCTTACAATAGAAATCATACAAGACGACAGCGGCAGCGCCGCATCGCCAGGCCGAGTACGGAATACCACCCTCCCCTGGCACGCTATCAACCCGGCTGCAAATAAGAAGACCCCAGTCGAACTCATTGATCATCCACCCCTCCTCCATCATACATTGCAGCTGGTCACCTGCAGGGACAGTGCCAACGTTGGCGATAAAACTCGATAGTTGGGGCCACGGCGCACGGTGCTCGACGGGCGCCGCGAAAACGCTGCTCCAGCGAGTATGAATTGCAGCCGCCGCCTGTTCTGCGAAGACACTCCGCGATCCCCGGGAGTCGAGGGCCCCCTGGAGCCAGGTCCGACGCTTCATGTTGGACCATAGGTCCCTCTTCCGCGTGATTTTCCGTTTGGCATTGTCTGGTGTCTCCTCAGGTACGTGAGCGGCAGTGCGATCAAGCTGTCGCCCCTCCTCGTTGAGCAAGGTGGGCCGTGGATTCTGAACATGCAGGGAGAGAGCAGCAAGAGCGCGTTTCTTTATGTTCGGCGCTGACGGGCGTCATGGGGAGGGGGGGGGGGGCGGGGGGGGGTTATGACGTAACGCCCCAACCGCCGTGTGGCTCGGGCACCGCAGCCGCGCCCGCGGGCGCGACGCGACGAGCGACGAGCGACGACGACGACGACGACGACGACGACGACGACGACGACGACGACGACGACACTGGCGACGACGATCACGACGACGACGACGACGACGACGACGACGACGTCGACGACGCGAGCAGCATGTAGGTGGCGATATGCCCCACTGCGCCTGTGTACGCCAAAACGCTCGCGTGCACCACAGCGCGCGTGTATACCACAGCGCCTGCGTACACCGCAACAACCGTATGCAACGCAGCGCCTGTGTACACCACAATGCTCGCGTACACTACAGCGCCAGCGTACACTTGCACACCACAACTACAATGTGCAACACAGCGCCTGTGTAGTACAGTGCTCGCGTGCACCGCAGCGCCTGTACACGCCACAGCGCGTGTCTACACCACAGCATCCGCGTGCAACGCAGCGCTGGTGAACACCACAACGCCTGCGTGCATAGGACAGGTAGAAGGAGCATGTACGTGAGGATCTGCTGCGGATAACTAAACGCCAGGCCGGGAACTTGCTGATAATCGAATGCGACGTTCTTCCTTCCTCCTTCCTCCTCCTCCTCCACCTCCACCTCCTCCTCCTCCTCCTCCTCCTCCTCTTCCTCCTCCTCCTCCTCCTCCTCCTCCTCCTCCTCCTCCTCCTTACCCCTTGTCGTGCAGGGCGCTACAACGCACGTGCGCATCTCAGCGCGCACCGCAGAATGGTCTATTGAATCGGTCCACTTGGTTCTCGGACGGCCAATTTAGCTGGACCCCTGGACGCAAAGGGAGGAGTTAGGGTGATGCGGGCGGACTCGGGAGGACACGTAGATTCCAGCGGCGCTCCGTTGTCCATAAGGATTATTATGTCTTGTTTGCTGTGGAATCCACAAGCGCTCCATGTTGTCATAGGGATTCGTACTCACATTCTATATACAACAATGGCGTTGTGTTGCGCACGGTTGCTGTGGTGCACACAGGCGCCATGGTGTACACAGGCACTGCAATGCACGCAAACATTGTGGTGTATACTGGTGCTGTGTTGCACACGGCTGATGTGGTGAACGCAAGCGCTGTGGTGTGCACAAGAGCTGTTGTGCCCGCAAGCACGGTGGCACAAGTTGACGCCGTGTTGCACGCAGCTGCTGTGGTGTCCATAGGCGGTGGTGTACACAAGCGCTGTGGTGCACGCACGCACTGTGGTGTACACAAGCGTTGTCGTGCAAAACGCCACCTACTTGCTGGCGCTACTCGTCCTCTGTCATTCCTAAGCGTTCCCAAACGCCGCCGGCGCGAAATGTGACGTCATCGACCCCCTCCACCCCCCCCCTAGAAGATTGCCGTCATCGGCCCGGAATAAACAGTCTTCAGACGCGTCCGCGCGCACAACGACTATGAGCGACGAGCGACAAGCCACGAACGACGACGATGACGACGGCGACGACGACGACTGCGGACCAGACTCCTATGCGGATTCCTACGCGGATCCCAATGCGCACAGCGGCATCGCTCGGAGCGCACTGGGGGGCAGTGCCCGGAGCGCACTGGAGGGGGGAGCCTTACGTCATAGGGGGGGGGGGCCGGGGGCCATGACGCCCGTCATGCCCAAAGCAATAAACAAACGGGCCCCAACGCGAAGAGCATGCCGATATCCTTCAGGAAAGTGCGCGGACAAGGCGGGATAGGCACGGATGGCCTCCTCGAGCTTAGAAGCATCGCCAGACCGCCATGCACGGAGAGCTTGAAATCCACGAACATGTTTCATTTCCGTCGCGCCCGCCGGCCGACGCGAAAGAAAAATGCGAACCTCCTCCGCTCCGCCACTTCGAACATAAGACCCTTCAGGCGAGCGAGCTCATCCCATGGGCTGAGATCCTGGGTGGCCGAAGACGCCAGGTCCAGGAGCGAACCGAAAAGTTCGTGCCGGACAAGCCATGGGGGTAAGCGGCGGGGCGCCTCTTGAGGCGAAAAGCTGGCGATACAAATAACCACAGGATGATGATCCGACATCATAATAGATTGTGAACGACCAAGAACCATGACACGACTGGTGAGGTCGGCCAGCAACGGGGCAGGGAGCGCGCAGCACGCTCGGTCCAGTCTGGCAGCGTGCGCGATCGTACCATCCCGTACTTTTCTCCTCGTGTCCCCCGACCGGCACAGGTCCGCCCACTTCCCACATCGCTGAGCAAAAAATGCCGAATGGGACTCGTCGCCTCTCGTTCACTCAGCACCGTCGGCAACAGAGCGACCTTCCATCGCAGGAGCAAGATTCCACCAATCAGCACTGTCATGGAGTCGGCGTTGGACGGACGAGCCTGCAATATAAGCCCTAAACCACGGCGGGATACAGCAATCGTTTCATTCGCGTTTGGCACATGGACGTTCACAGTGGTCAGTGGCCCCGAAGAGCCAGTAAAATGGGCAAGGAGAACACGACATTCGATGACAGGTGAATGCACGCACGATGAGCAGAAACGGAAAGGACGAGGATGAACACATGTGACATCACCACCAACGTTGATAGCGTCAGAGAAAAGGGAATGACCGATATCAGAATCACGAAATTATATGCGAAGTTCCGTAATGTCCCCAACCTGCCCATGACACTCCTGCGCGCGAAAGATATCAATATCCTGAGCGTACTTGAGAAATCTGGCATATCGAATTGGCGCTTTCGCGCTTTGACTCCGCACCGCAACAAAGAGAGCGCGAGGGAGCTCCTTCGTTCAAATGCTCATCACCTTGGGTAAGAGGCTCGACCAATGGTGAGAGGACCGCATGAAACTAGGCAAAATTCTCTGCGCAAAATGCGATGCTGACCTGAGGGCGAGTGGCGTCGGAGGCAGGAGCAAGGTGACAAATCAGAACCAGGTCTTCTGGATTACGCAACACAGAGACGTCCCCTCCGAGCCCATTCGAGCCCGTCTGCGTTAAGTCCACAAACGGCAGACGAGATCGCTGCCCTCACCTTGCCCATGGCGAGAAAGAGAAGGCGAGTGCAAGGTTCCATATCACGTTTGGCTATTGGCCAGGATAGACGGGGTCTAGAAACTGAAGCGGCTGGGTGGTGACCAGATATATTCGAGAGGACGTCCGTCGCTTGGGAGCCGTTCTGAGAGTCAAGCGTTACTTTCTTAGTCATAGCATAGGTTTTGATGGTCGGGACGGGGCGGCCAGATAGGATCCCAGTGGCCACGAAAGCCGCTGCAGCACGTCTCAACGATGATTGCATCAACTTCCGAGTAAAACCAACAATGACAACCCTGTGTGCACGTTCGAGGGCGGAGGGGCGGGAGACCGCCCGCTGAAACGAGGACCCAGTAGATGGCACGGACGAGGTAGAGCCAGCAGTCGCTAGAACTGGCGGTGGCACAGTAATCTTGCGGAGCTGCTCCTCGATGCCTTGAATGCGCTTCTGTACACCTGTCCGTGAATGAGACGGGATGCTCGAAGAGTCGTCCATGTCGTTCGGCGTCGGGGTCGACTCGTTTGTACACAAACGTGAATTGAGGCTGATCACTTGGTCTTGCAAGGCGAGAGACTTCGCGTCGGACCCGCTGGCGAAGCTCGTAACTTTCATGGCTAAGTCCCCGCAGCGGCGCGATGACGTCTCCACTTCCTGTTTAAATTGGGCCACTTCTTGGTTGGTAGTATGAACAGACGATGCTAGGGTACGCACCGTGTCAAGAATGGAGTCGACCTTGCCATCAAGGGGCTGCGCGGATGAGAGCCTTTCCTCGTTAGACCTGGAGCGGACCCCTGACGATGAAGGGCTGGGCGAGGCAATGCGGATGGCACGGCGCCGGCGGCCGTCACCGCGCGGAGGCATGGCACCTGCAGGGAAGAGAAAGCGACCGTACAGTACGCGGGCCCACACCCTTGTGTGGCGTAAGTGTGAAGAAAAGTCACGGCCAGACCTGCTCGGGCGAGCACCTGTGGTCTAGCCTTCGGAGCTCACTATCAGCCACCTTCAGCCAACATGGCTTGAGCCAAAATGGCTACGGAACTCGATCCTCAACGATCTTCGATCCACCTCGATTTTCCTTGATCCGCCTCGATGTCCGCCTGGCTGCTGGAGCGCCGCGGCGCGGTGCACGGCGAGTTCTTGTTCCACACGAAAGGCCTCGCGCTGCGCCGCGCGCAGTTCGGCGCCCGCGGCGCCCAGCGGCGGAGAGTCGGCGCCTCTCGCGGGGGGGAGCGGGTCGGAGGGTCGAAGGTCGAAAATCGAGGACCGAGGATCGGGGAGTCTCGAGGATCGAGGACGAGGCTCGAAGGTCGATGAGGCCCGGACATAAAGAGGAAGCTCGTAGACGGGGGGGGATCGAAGAGGATCAAAGACGGGGATGGGGAGGTGGAGGAAGAGTAGGAGCGAGGACGGGGAAAAATCGAGGAGGATGCAATGGGGGGGAGAAGGAGGAAGAATATGCAAACGAAATAAAAGGTATGGATTTTCGGGGGTGAGTCCGATCCTAGCCACAAAAAGAGGATGCGAGTGAAGAGGAGGAGGGGCATCAGGGAGGAGGAACGAGCAGGATCGAGGAGGAGGAGGAAGAGAGGGGGAGGAGGAGGAGGGGTGTTTTAAACAACAGCCAAAGACTGCGGAGCCATGGGTCAAGGAAATATTTCCCCCCAGCTCCAGACCGGGATATGGCGGCGAGCGCGGCAGCTTTTGGGGCGATGGCGCTCTTTTGTCGGCATCCACTACGCAGCACAAACAACCGAAAGCTGGCTCGCATCCGAAATGGTAGCGGGCGATAACATTAGGATAGAGCACATATGGGAAGGGAGGGCGAATGGATCACCACAAGCCACATAGACGAGCAAGAAGTACGCTTTTTCCAACACAGATATTTAAACTTCGCAAATTTGTGCCCGTCGCTACTTCAAATCACAGCACCACCAAAACACACACACACACACACACACACACACACACACACACAAACACACTGAAAATGCATGCTATATGGATGACGTCTGCAGCCGGCTGTCCAGCTCGGTAACCAATCGGACATTCACAGTCCGAGAAGTTGGGAAAGAAAGGGACCGCAATGCGCAAAATAGAGCTCGAGCGCGCGCAACATGCGGCAGCCTCGGCACTGCAACGCGCTGGATGCAGGTAGGGGGGAGGAAAGAGGGGATTCTGCTTACAATTAGGATGCAAACGCGAATGGTGTGAAAGTTCCTCTCTGGAGTCTCTCACCCGCGCCCCCCAGCGTTCACGCGCGACGCGTCGTGCCGCGTTGCCCATCTCCTCCCTGAATTCGATACTCCAGGTCCCTCGAGCGAACGCTTCGCGAAGGTGGTCGGCAGGCAGATCCTTGGTCAGGACGTCCCTCAACATGTTCGCGCCGTCGGTCTACCGCACCGTAGTCTGAGGCCGATCCAATCTCACGAATGCCGGCAAGCTCGTGGCTCACTGATTTCTACGCTGAGCTCCCCACGCCGGCCGGCATCTGAGCAGAGCCTGCAGCGACCGCCCTTGGAGCCCGTGACGGCCATCATCAGAACCTGCCAGCCTGAGAGTCTCACGCAGGCGCCTCGCGCCACCGGACCAAAGGGCACCCCGTCGATCTGGCCGCGCATGGCTTGCACCACATGAACCACATATCCGAGCGCAATCGCGCCCGAAGAAGCGCAGGAGCCCCTCGCCGCGCGCTTCAACTCGCGGCACCGGCCCTCCAGGAGCGAGGACCTGCCCGCGCCACCGCCAACGAATTCCTCGTCCGCGAACACGATCAGGTAGCCAGGTCGGACCGCGAGGCTTCCAAACCGAGCTCGCGAGCAGCTCGCGCCACTTTCAGGTGCCGAAGTCTCCCAGCCGCAGCAAGTCCGAACGCTCCTTTTCGAACTCGAGCCAGTCGCCCTCGCGGGAATGCCTCGAGAGCTGGACCACGGCGCGGAGCACGACTCACGAGGCCTCTGTCTTTTACTTCATTTTTCAAGAATGCGAGAATGCGCCACCCGCGCCCTTGGATCCGAACGCCCAATCCGGATGCGAAGACGCCACCCGCGTCAAAATCATCTCCGACTGGGTCGTCGCGCAAGGGGCCACCCGCGAATAAGACTTCTCGTCGGACCGTCCAAGATCTCCACTGTTGACCACGAGCGGGCGATCGCCGTCAGAGGCAAGTCGTTGGCCTCGGTCCGCAGCGGGCCATTATTTCTGGTCAGCGCCCACCTCGCGCTCAGAATGTAGTCGCCCTTGCCCGCGCGCTCCATGGACTCCCGCGGGCCCAGGGGCCCCCCCCCCCGCGACGACCTCGACAGACTCGGCGTCGATCCTATCGCCCCGCTGGACCGCAGCGGCCCACTCAGACCCCGGCTCGGTCGGCGGGCCCACCCCGTTCCACGCGCCCCCCTGCCGGGCCTGCCCCCGCGAGAGCATGGCCCCCATCGCCGGGCCCAGCGATTTCACCACCCAGGCGGTCCAATAACCTTCCCCCGATATTATTCAGCGCCTCCATGAGCCAACGCGCCGCTCGCCCCGCCATGGTCTTGGCCCAGACTACGCCGCCTGGACGTCGAGGCCCTGGAGGTCCTTCTCGCCTCGCGGAGATGCTTCTGGTAGCTTTGCATGATCAGCATCTCTCCTCGCGGCTCGACGTCGCTCCTCGAAGGCCGCCCACGGGCGCTCTGCTTCTTGCAGCGGCGGCGCCCGCAGCGGCAAATGACCGAGAGATCCGCCAGGGGGCCACGCACCCAAGAAATGGCCATCTCCATCATTTTCATCAGGCGCCAGCCGATGCACCCCACCACGCCCTGCCACATCGGGCTGAGGAACGGTCGAATGCCGCGGAAGCCGCTCCAGGACCGCATGGGCGTTCTTCCGAGCGGTCTCGGCGACTCGCAAGGCCCCCAGTTTCTCTGCCCCCCCCCCCCTCCCCCACGCACGCAACGCAATCGTCTCGCCGCCTCCTCTGGGAGATCTGCCCGCCCGCTCTGCCGCGGGCTGGCCCCGCGTGAAAGTCCCTGCTGATCGGCCCCGCCAGCCGCTCCATCCACGGCCCTCAGTTTCGCGCGGGTCGCGCCCCTCACCCCGGGCATTGGTCGCGCGCCCCATCAAGCCCCCGCCGCCTTCCACGGCGCTCAGAACCTGCCCCGCGATGTCCTGCTGCCCCCCGGCAGCCGATCCAAGGGCCCGCCCAGGGAAGCACGCCGCGCGACAGCGGGCCCACACTTCTTTGACAAACCTTCGCAGGACACATAGATGGCCGCAGGCCCCACTACGATCGCCACCCCAGGTCCGCGCCGCGCTCTGGAAAGCGACGCCGGGCCCTTTCGACGGCGGAAAGTTCGACGGCCTGCTCGAAGGACGTAGACCGCGTCGCCCGGCTCTACGTTGGCAGCGGCGCCCGTCGAGCCCTCGCCGGCGTCGAGCTTGTCGAACGCCACTCTGGCAGCGCTCAAGATTTGCAGCCGCGTCTTCATGCGCGGGCCGTTCTCCGCCGCATTGCGGGCGGCCACGCGGGGGCGAGCAGGCCCCGCGGCAGCTGCCGCAACCTTCCCAGCGCGATAAGAGCCAGTGAAAACCCTGACCCAGTGATCCGCTGGATCTCGGTCTGCGCGATCACCGCGGTCGCCGACGTCGCCCCCGGCCGCGCCTCGATCTCCGCCCCCGCGGCACTGGCCCGCCGACGGGCCCCTCGCTCGCCCCCAGCTCTCGAGCGCATTCCCTCCCGCCGCAGCGCCCCCGCGGCGGCGCGCCACGGCAACGCGCCGCAGCCCTGCATCAGCCGGCACGCCGCCGCGTGGATCTCGCCGCCGTTGTCCGCCACCAGCGAGCCAGACACTCCTGCCCAACTGAACCAGCCCATCTCGAGCGCCTGGGCCACGACTCCCGGATGTCTGCTTCTGATTGGGCAGACCACGTGGAAGCCCGCCTCGACGTTGACGACGTCGAGCACCCCCCGCGCCTTGCCCGAGCCCGCGTGGACCACGAAGGCGCCGAGCGCGATCCGATGCCTGAACGCCCTCACCTTCGCGAGCCTCGCTGGGCACCGAGCGCGCCCCACGGCCGTGCGAGTCATCTCGCGGCGCGCCAGGCGCTGCAGCTGCTGCGCCGCGTCGACGGCCTCGACACTGGCCCCACAGGCGCGAAATGCCCGCGCGAGTAGCTCCTCAGGGGGCGCCGAAAATTCCGATGGATCCTCGGCGCGGCGCTCCGAACTCCCATCGAAATTGGGGCGCCCCTCGACGCCTTCTCGCAGCCCTCGACATCGTCGTCGGCGGGGTGGCCCGCGAAGCCGAGATCATCGATCTCTTTCAGGTCGCCCTCGGAAACCTCATCGACGCTGGGCGCCCCCTTCAGGTCGCAAATTGTTTCCAACACCTTAATGATACTCTTCGCCAGCATCGCGACGCAGTGGCCAAGTCGACTCGTCGCGCCGACGCCACCAATGATGGCACCGCGAATGCGGAAGCGGCCGCACTTCCGCCCAAGATCGATCGGCAACTCGGGATGAGCCCCCACGAACCGCGCAGGCGCCCGATGGGGCCTTCCGCCCCCGGACGCGAGGTCGCACGCGCACTGGTCCAGCTGCCGAGTGTCCGCGTCGCAGACGCCCTCGGAGTTCTGGCTGGCCCCAGGTTCGCGACGACCTCGGGTTCTCGAGCAACCACGCCCCTCCACGCCGTTCTTGCGCCATGGCAGCGGCCGTCACGAAAGGAAAAAAGATTCGCCCCCAAAGCTGTCGCTCTCGGACTCGTCGTTGACTTTTCTGGAAGTCATCAAATTGCTCCATGGGCTGCAGGGAAGCCTGCATCACCGCCGAATACGGCTTCTTCAACTCCAGCGCCTGCGGTGCCTCCTTCCATCGCTTAGGTGGCCTCAAGTCATCGCCGAACTCCAGCGAATAGCTCCTCGCGGCGCGCAAGCCCCGGCGGACAACCTCGCGTCGCACGGCCCCCTTCGTGGCAAAGATCTCGCAGACCCCGGGCGGACTGTCGGGCTGCCCCGTGAAGATGGCGTCGCGATCGGCCTCCCACGTCCCGAAAATCGGCCCCAACTCCGCGAGGTTGACCAGGGGCTCGATAGTCAGCGACCTCAGATTCTTTACCCCGGACTGCAGCCCGCCAAGTTCACTTCCTTCTCGATCTTCATGGGGGGCCCTGCGCGCAGCATTGCTCCAAACAACCACTTCGATTGCGCCGAAGGCCTGCGTGTCACCCTGGTTCGCACATC